GTTCGTTCCTGCGAGACATACCAACGCGTGAAACCAGCTCCGTCCTCTCCATCCCCGCTGACTCCACTACCCATCGCCACCGAGGCGTGGCGATCAGTTATCATGGACTTTGTGTTTTGCCTTCCAGAAGACGCGCAGGGGCGCACTGGTATCTTCGTCGTCGTTGACCGGTTCAGCAAGATGGTGCAACTGACTCCGGTCACCGCATCAAAAACTGCGGCAGATACGGCGACACTCTTCTTGGACATGGTCTTTCGACACCATGGGATGCCCACTACAATCGTTTCGGATCGTGATCCCCGGTTCACAGCCGCCTTTTGGTCGCGGCTGTTCGAGTTACTGGGTACCAGATTGTTAATGTCTACTGCGGCGCATCTCGAAACCGACGGCCAGACTGAACGTGTGAATCGCGTATTGGAAAATGTGCTGCAAAGTTACTCCACGTCATACGAGTCATGAAGTGCTTTACTCCCATGATCGAGTTTGCATTGAATAACGCCGTTCGCTTCAACGGGATTGACCCACTTCTTCGTCAATAGCGCGCGTCATCTACGCGTGCCTGTCCTTCTCGGTATGGAGGATGATTCTACTCTTGTTGGGGGAGAAACCCCAGGAGTTCTGGAGCTGACGAAGTCCGCAGCATCGAGCGCTACGGATACACACGATGACGCCTCGCCTTCCCCGGCGTCGCTTAATGTGGCAATGACTCGCGCTGCTTGCCAGCGTAAGATGGACCCGTTGTCGGTACAGAATGGGATAGTGAAGCTTTGATTACTCCTACGAGTCGTGCGTTTCCATTACCTTCGTCGTCCAACAGTCCGTCGATCGACCATTCGAGTCAAAGTGCTTCGCCGCCGAGTGCTCGTCTCACTGACTCGGCGGCTATCGACGCATTTGTGGAACAACGACAGTCAGTCGTACGATTTGCTCGTGATGTGCTCGCGAGCGCGGTTGACGAACAGAAGGCGTCCACGGTTGATCGCGGACGCAAGAATTTAGAGAAGTTCTCTGTGGGTGACTCCGTGTTGTTATCTAAGACAGGCATTCAAGAGGCATCTGTGACAAAACTCGGTGCAAACAAACTGTCACCGCGCTATATTAGACCATTCAAGATCGTCAAGGTTATGGGAAATGCCTACACACTTGATATCACAACTGCGATGCGACTTCACCCGACGTTTTACGTCGGGCGACTCAAACGCTACTGGCCGGCCCTCCTCCCGACTGATCAGGAGGTCCCACCGCCGGAGCATATTGTGGCCCGCGGTACTTCGGCTTCCTTGGAGAATCCGGTTGACGGTCCCCTCGCAACACCGCGTTATCCTTCCGAAAAGCCGCGTTTAACTGTTTCGACCGTTCCAATCGAGCCGCCAATCCGGCAACAGTCGAAGACACCTGCACCACTCGCGAGTCAGCAAGCTCAGCCAGTTCCCTCGCCTGCTCCGCGTCGTATCCAACAAACCCAACGCGCTGTTGATACTCGCGGAGATCTTTCGCGAGAGACTCGGTCATGTCAGACCCCGCCAGACTCGCAGACACCTCATGCACGCTTCCACCGCAATCCTCCTCCTTCGCTAATTGAATGCGCCGGGGAATCCGCGCTGGATTGTCGATAAGATTCTCGAGCATCGCGACCCATCGACCTTGAATCATCGCGCCTCCAGTCATGACCGTCCCACGGCGATCTTGGACAATCGTCAATATCTTCTCCGCTGACTTGGTCACCTTTCCACGAGCGATTCGTGGGAGCCTCGCTCCATTCTTCTCGCCGACGGTCCAGATGTGGTGAAGGCGTACGACGCCGAGGAGAACGTGGTGGTTCTCGCGGTCAAGGACTTGCAGACCGCGAGCGTGGACGTGAATTACGTGTCGATCTAGTAGACGTACATGCTCATGCTTCAAGAGAGCACGTTCATAGCGTACTATCCACAGGAGCTCTTCTTCCGTCATTAGAAAGTGCGCAAGAGTTGGCTACCACTCGTCGCGGGTTGGAGCTTGCTCACCGCGACAAAATCGACATCCCTCGCGCCTTCGCACGTAGAAATACGGTCGTCCAGCGTTCTAAGACATTGTACAACATTCCCACGCAAGTCGGACAACCCATACTTCCGTTGCTGTTCCTTCCAATGTGGTAATAATTCGCCAAAATGTGGTTCCTAGTTCCAGCCTCGCACGAACGCAGTGATTCATCAAGCTAGTCTCGGGTCACGGCTAGGGTAGCCGTGACGAATTTTCTGCGCGTTGCTCTCCACCTTCGCCACATATCGGCCATTACCTCGTCCCCACGTGATTTCTAGATACCACTGCCGTCATACAAGGACCAGACTCGCATTGTGTCTACGAATCTTCTCGGTGGACTAAAGGTTATCGAAGGCACTGCCGGGTCTCCTTACACGCATGCTATTTGTCAAGTTTGAGTGGGGGTGGTGTAACGTACACGGCATATCAAGTACTATTTGGGCAATTAGTCCAGACAAAGCGACAATTTCGTACTTTACAGTAACAATGGCATCTACTTTCGCTATGCGTTTGCTCGGCATTAGTCGCTTGCAATTGGACCCACGCCCTCCCTCGCACGATGGGTGCTGCACGAAGACGACAATATGATTGAAAACGGCTATGAACATTGTGATACTGGAGAAGATTGTTGCATTATAAGAGCGTAAAACTAGCCCTGGAATACGTGCACGTCACTTGCAACGTTTTGCTCACACTAACTATTGTCTCTGTCCAACAAACCCGACGGACAACAAATTTATGTCTTTTCTTGATTTAAAATACAGAGACAAAGACCAAACAAACCCCGAAGCCATTAAATTAACTCATAGTTCCGACACAATTACACTGTAGATTTCAACCAAGCAGGTAGCATCAAAAATCACGCGAAATGCCGAACTTGCGTCGCGACGGAGCTGACGGAACGTCGAACCAACTTCAGGGATGAAGCTCTCTAAGAAGATTTGAACTGCAAAACTCTTCCAAATGGTTAAGATGGCTCCGGTTAAAGCCTTTCTGTGTCTAGCATTAGTGGTAGGTCATCTTAGCTTTTTTGGCCGATAACTCATTTCTTCCTACCATGGCGTCACGCTAACTGGTACGACGGAGAAGATTGACCCACCTGCTACTGCAGTTGTCGCGAAGGAATCACATGCCCGTGATGACAAGGATGATGACGATGATGAAAAGGAGCAATTCGGCTGGGGTTTAGGAGGTCTTGGTGGATGGGGCCTCGGCGGCTGGGGCAGTTGGGGAGGCTGGGGAGGATATGGACCCTATTGCTTCGGCTTTTTGCGAGGTGGCCTCCTTGGCTGGGCCTATCCGTTGGGCTACTGGAACACGTTTGGTGCGGGTTTGTACGGTGGCGGGTGCGGTCTGGGTGTGCCCTTTGGTGGTCTCTACTACTGCTAAGTTTACATCGACAGTGTTGCAGCTCACAGCTATTTGCTACCGTATCGGTGGCGCAATGCAGCTTCAATAATTGACACTCTCAAATAAATGATGTCTTTTTGTCACGCTTTTACTAATGTTGTTAAGGTTGTTGCCATCGCGCAATAATGAGCTGTTGGCTTTGCTTGGTGCCTTGTCAAAGAAAACAGAATGCTTATATGTTTGGGCTAGATATCAATCATTCTCTGCTTCTGAAACTTAGTCCAGAACTCCAATAATATGCTTCAAAACAAAGGCAAAGCGACAATTTCGTACTTTACAGTAACAATGGCATCTACTTTCGCTATGCGTTTGCTCGGCATTAGTCGCTTGCAAATGGACCCACGCCCTCCCTCGCACGATGGGTGCTGCACGAAGACGACAATATGATTGAAAACGGCTATGAACATTGTGATACTGGAGAAGATTGTTGCATTATAAGAGCGTAAAACTAGCCCTGGAATACGTGCACGTCACTTGCAACGTTTTGCTCACACTAACTATTGTCTCTGTCCAACAAACCCGACGGACAACAAATTTCTGTCTTTTCTTGATCGAATTGCCGCTTTAAAATACAGAGACAAAGATCAAACAAACCCCGAAGCCATTAAATTAACTCATAGTTCCGACACAATCACAATGTAGATTTCAACCAAGCAGGTAGCATCAAAAATCACGCGAAATCAAACTTGCGTCGCGACGGAGCTAACGGAACGTCGAACCAACTTCAGGGATGAAGCTCTCTAAGAAGATTTGAACTGCAAAACTCTTCCAAATGGTTAAGATGGCTCCGGTTAAAGCCTTTCTGTGTCTAGCATTAGTGGTAGGTCATCTTAGCTTTTTTGGCCGATAACTCATTTCTTCCTACCATGAAGTTGGGATGACGTATATTCCATCATCTCCTATCGCCATGTTTGTCGGCACGCCCAACGGCACAAATATATAGATTGCTTTGAGTAACGCCAGTCATTTTAATGGAACACAGGAGACTTGCAGCATAGATTAACGACAAGCTTACCGTGTTTACAAAGAAGAAGGGAAGAAATAGCAAGAGACGAATCATGCAAAACTAGAAAAAACGATAGGGCGGCAACGCCGTACACTGCGTTTTGATACTTCGGTTGAGCTCGCTTTTGTATCACAAAGCAACAGTAGAGAATGACCCACAGCTTCGTCCCGTTGACGAACTCAAGGCTCAGCAGTAGTGCAACCTCCGATCTAATTCGTCGAAGGGTACCTACTACCTCAAAACACTCGAGCTAGTCACGAGAAAATCGGCTCAAACTTTTGTTATCAAAAATATCCTTGAGGCTGTCATGGTCGATACTGAAAGGAAGACAATGGCTTACTACTTGACTTTGGTACTATGACGCTTTCCATCAATCGATCGAATGTCACGCCGAATCGAACGGCTTTACCGAGAAAACACTTGCAGAAATGTCCAAACCTTTATGAACCTTATCAGATGAATGGAAGCATCGATATTCACTCCACTCACTGCACAATTTGCTTCCAATACAGCAAGTCAAGTACTCTATCTGACTGCATCAATAGTTTCAGTTGACATCACGACCATGAAATTCTCCATCTTCCTCGTCGCTGCCATCGCCATTCTTGGTGTCGTCACAGCTACCGACCAGCCTGCCGTGACAACACCAGCCGAAGCTCTCAAGAAGATTCAGGCGTCCGCCTTACCCGATGGCGTCACGCTAACTGGTACGACGGAGAAGATTGACCCACCTGCTACTGCAGTTGTCGCGAAGGAATCACATGCCCGTGATGACAAGGATGATGACGATGATGAAAAGGAGCAATTCGGCTGGGGTTTAGGAGGTCTTGGTGGATGGGGCCTCGGCGGCTGGGGCAGTTGGGGAGGCTGGGGAGGATATGGACCCTATCGCTTCGGCTTTTTGCGAGGTGGCCTCCTTGGCTGGGCCTATCCGTTGGGCTACTGGAACACGTTTGGTGCGGGTTTGTACGGTGGCGGGTGCGGTCTGGGTGTGCCCTTTGGTGGTCTCTACTACTGCTAAGTTTACATCGACAGTGTTGCAGCTCACAGCTATTTGCTACCGTATCGGTGGCGCAATGCAGCTTCAATAATTGACACTCTCAAATAAATGATGTCTTTTTGTCACGCTTTTACTAATGTTGTTAAGGTTGTTGCCATCGCGCAATAATGAGCTGTTGGCTTTGCTTGGTGCCTTGTCAAAGAAAACAGAATGCTTATATGTTTGGGCTAGATATCAATCATTCTCTGCTTCTGAAACTTAGTCCAGAACTCCAATAATATGCTTCAAAACAAAGGCAAAGCGACAATTTCGTACTTTACAGTAACAATGGCATCTACTTTCGCTATGCGTTTGCTCGGCATTAGTCGCTTGCAAATGGACCCACGCCCTCCCTCGCACGATGGGTGCTGCACGAAGACGACAATATGATTGAAAACGGCTATGAACATTGTGATACTGGAGAAGATTGTTGCATTATAAGAGCGTAAAACTAGCCCTGGAATACGTGCACGTCACTTGCAACGTTTTGCTCACACTAACTATTGTCTCTGTCCAACAAACCCGACGGACAACAAATTTCTGTCTTTTCTTGATCGATTGGCCGCTTTAAAATACAGAGACAAAGATCAAACAAACCCCGAAGCCATTAAATTAACTCATAGTTCCGACACAATCACACTGTAGATTTCAACCAAGCAGGTAGCATCAAAAATCACGCGAAATCCAAACTTGCGTCGCGACGGAGCTGACGGAACGTCGAACCAACTTCAGGGATGAAGCTCTCTAAGAAGATTTGAACCGCAAAACTCTTCCAAATGGTTAAGATGGCTCCGGTTAAAGCCTTTCTGTGTCTAGCATTAGTGGTAGGTCATCTTAGCTTTTTTGGCCGATAACTCATTTCTTCCTACCATGAAGTTGGGATGACGTATATTCCATCATCTCCTATCGCCATGTTTGTCGGCACGCCCAACGGCACAAATATATAGATTGCTTTGAATAACGCCAGTCATTTTAATGGAACACAGGAGACTTGCAGCATAGATTAACGACAAGCTTACCGTGTTTACAAAGAAGAAGGGAAGAAATAGCAAGAGACGAATCATGCAAAACTAGAAAAAACGATAGGGCGGCAACGCCGTACACTGCGTTTTGATACTTCGGTTGAGCTCGCTTTTGTATCACAAAGCAACAGTAGAGAATGACCCACAGCTTCGTCCCGTTGACGAACTCAAGGCTCAGCAGTAGTGCAACCTCCGATCTAATTCGTCGAAGGGTACCTACTACCTCAAAACACTCGAGCTAGTCACGAGAAAAGCGGCTCAAACTTTTGTTATCAAAAATATCCTTGAGGCTGTCATGGTCGATACTGAAAGGAAGACAATGGCTTACTACTTGACTTTGGTACTATGACGCTTTCCATCAATCGATCGAATGTCACGCCGAATCGAACGGCTTTACCGAGAAAACACTTGCAGAAATGTCCAAACCTTTATGAACCTTATCAGATGAATGGAAGCATCGATATTCACTCCACTCACTGCACAATTTGCTTCCAATACAGCAAGTCAAGTACTCTATCTGACTGCATCAATAGTTTCAGTTGACATCACGACCATGAAATTCTCCATCTTCCTCGTCGCTGCCATCGCCATTCTTGGTGTCGTCACAGCTACCGACCAGCCTGCCGTGACAACACCAGCCGAAGCTCTCAAGAAGATTCAGGCGTCCGCCTTACCCGATGGCGTCACGCTAACTGGTACGACGGAGAAGATTGACCCACCTGCTACTGCAGTTGTCGCGAAGGAATCACATGCCCGTGATGACAAGGATGATGACGATGATGAAAAGGAGCAATTCGGCTGGGGTTTAGGAGGTCTTGGTGGATGGGGCCTCGGCGGCTGGGGCAGTTGGGGAGGCTGGGGAGGATATGGACCCTATCGCTTCGGCTTTTTGCGAGGTGGCCTCCTTGGCTGGGCCTATCCGTTGGGCTACTGGAACACGTTTGGTGCGGGTTTGTACGGTGGCGGGTGCGGTCTGGGTGTGCCCTTTGGTGGTCTCTACTACTGCTAAGTTTACATCGACAGTGTTGCAGCTCACAGCTATTTGCTACCGTATCGGTGGCGCAATGCAGCTTCAATAATTGACACTCTCAAATAAATGATGTCTTTTTGTCACGCTTTTACTAATGTTGTTAAGGTTGTTGCCATCGCGCAATAATGAGCTGTTGGCTTTGCTTGGTGCCTTGTCAAAGAAAACAGAATGCTTATATGTTTGGGCTAGATATCAATCATTCTCTGCTTCTGAAACTTAGTCCAGAACTCCAATAATATGCTTCAAAACAAAGGCAAAGCGACAATTTCGTACTTTACAGTAACAATGGCATCTACTTTCGCTATGCGTTTGCTCGGCATTAGTCGCTTGCAAATGGACCCACGCCCTCCCTCGCACGATGGGTGCTGCACGAAGACGACAATATGATTGAAAACGGCTATGAACATTGTGATACTGGAGAAGATTGTTGCATTATAAGAGCGTAAAACTAGCCCTGGAATACGTGCACGTCACTTGCAACGTTTTGCTCACACTAACTATTGTCTCTGTCCAACAAACCCGACGGACAACAAATTTCTGTCTTTTCTTGATCGATTGAGCCGCTTTAAAATACAGAGACAAAGATCAAACAAACCCCGAAGCCATTAAATTAACTCATAGTTCCGACACAATCACACTGTAGATTTCAACCAAGCAGGTAGCATCAAAAATCACGCGAAATCCAAACTTGCGTCGCGACGGAGCTGACGGAACGTCGAACCAACTTCAGGGATGAAGCTCTCTAAGAAGATTTGAACCGCAAAACTCTTCCAAATGGTTAAGATGGCTCCGGTTAAAGCCTTTCTGTGTCTAGCATTAGTGGTAGGTCATCTTAGCTTTTTTGGCCGATAACTCATTTCTTCCTACCATGAAGTTGGGATGACGTATATTCCATCATCTCCTATCGCCATGTTTGTCGGCACGCCCAACGGCACAAATATATAGATTGCTTTGAATAACGCCAGTCATTTTAATGGAACACAGGAGACTTGCAGCATAGATTAACGACAAGCTTACCGTGTTTACAAAGAAGAAGGGAAGAAATAGCAAGAGACGAATCATGCAAAACTAGAAAAAACGATAGGGCGGCAACGCCGTACACTGCGTTTTGATACTTCGGTTGAGCTCGCTTTTGTATCACAAAGCAACAGTAGAGAATGACCCACAGCTTCGTCCCGTTGACGAACTCAAGGCTCAGCAGTAGTGCAACCTCCGATCTAATTCGTCGAAGGGTACCTACTACCTCAAAACACTCGAGCTAGTCACGAGAAAAGCGGCTCAAACTTTTGTTATCAAAAATATCCTTGAGGCTGTCATGGTCGATACTGAAAGGAAGACAATGGCTTACTACTTGACTTTGGTACTATGACGCTTTCCATCAATCGATCGAATGTCACGCCGAATCGAACGGCTTTACCGAGAAAACACTTGCAGAAATGTCCAAACCTTTATGAACCTTATCAGATGAATGGAAGCATCGATATTCACTCCACTCACTGCACAATTTGCTTCCAATACAGCAAGTCAAGTACTCTATCTGACTGCATCAATAGTTTCAGTTGACATCACGACCATGAAATTCTCCATCTTCCTCGTCGCTGCCATCGCCATTCTTGGTGTCGTCACAGCTACCGACCAGCCTGCCGTGACAACACCAGCCGAAGCTCTCAAGAAGATTCAGGCGTCCGCCTTACCCGATGGCGTCACGCTAACTGGTACGACGGAGAAGATTGACCCACCTGCTACTGCAGTTGTCGCGAAGGAATCACATGCCCGTGATGACAAGGATGATGACGATGATGAAAAGGAGCAATTCGGCTGGGGTTTAGGAGGTCTTGGTGGATGGGGCCTCGGCGGCTGGGGCAGTTGGGGAGGCTGGGGAGGATATGGACCCTATCGCTTCGGCTTTTTGCGAGGTGGCCTCCTTGGCTGGGCCTATCCGTTGGGCTACTGGAACACGTTTGGTGCGGGTTTGTACGGTGGCGGGTGCGGTCTGGGTGTGCCCTTTGGTGGTCTCTACTACTGCTAAGTTTACATCGACAGTGTTGCAGCTCACAGCTATTTGCTACCGTATCGGTGGCGCAATGCAGCTTCAATAATTGACACTCTCAAATAAATGATGTCTTTTTGTCACGCTTTTACTAATGTTGTTAAGGTTGTTGCCATCGCGCAATAATGAGCTGTTGGCTTTGCTTGGTGCCTTGTCAAAGAAAACAGAATGCTTATATGTTTGGGCTAGATATCAATCATTCTCTGCTTCTGAAACTTAGTCCAGAACTCCAATAATATGCTTCAAAACAAAGGCAAAGCGACAATTTCGTACTTTACAGTAACAATGGCATCTACTTTCGCTATGCGTTTGCTCGGCATTAGTCGCTTGCAAATGGACCCACGCCCTCCCTCGCACGATGGGTGCTGCACGAAGACGACAATATGATTGAAAACGGCTATGAACATTGTGATACTGGAGAAGATTGTTGCATTATAAGAGCGTAAAACTAGCCCTGGAATACGTGCACGTCACTTGCAACGTTTTGCTCACACTAACTATTGTCTCTGTCCAACAAACCCGACGGACAACAAATTTCTGTCTTTTCTTGATCGATTGAGCCGCTTTAAAATACAGAGACAAAGATCAAACAAACCCCGAAGCCATTAAATTAACTCATAGTTCCGACACAATCACACTGTAGATTTCAACCAAGCAGGTAGCATCAAAAATCACGCGAAATCCAAACTTGCGTCGCGACGGAGCTGACGGAACGTCGAACCAACTTCAGGGATGAAGCTCTCTAAGAAGATTTGAACCGCAAAACTCTTCCAAATGGTTAAGATGGCTCCGGTTAAAGCCTTTCTGTGTCTAGCATTAGTGGTAGGTCATCTTAGCTTTTTTGGCCGATAACTCATTTCTTCCTACCATGAAGTTGGGATGACGTATATTCCATCATCTCCTATCGCCATGTTTGTCGGCACGCCCAACGGCACAAATATATAGATTGCTTTGAATAACGCCAGTCATTTTAATGGAACACAGGAGACTTGCAGCATAGATTAACGACAAGCTTACCGTGTTTACAAAGAAGAAGGGAAGAAATAGCAAGAGACGAATCATGCAAAACTAGAAAAAACGATAGGGCGGCAACGCCGTACACTGCGTTTTGATACTTCGGTTGAGCTCGCTTTTGTATCACAAAGCAACAGTAGAGAATGACCCACAGCTTCGTCCCGTTGACGAACTCAAGGCTCAGCAGTAGTGCAACCTCCGATCTAATTCGTCGAAGGGTACCTACTACCTCAAAACACTCGAGCTAGTCACGAGAAAAGCGGCTCAAACTTTTGTTATTAAAAATATCCTTGAGGCTGTCATGGTCGATACTGAAAGGAAGACAATGGCTTACTACTTGACTTTGGTACTATGACGCTTTCCATCAATCGATCGAATGTCACGCCGAATCGAACGGCTTTACCGAGAAAACACTTGCAGAAATGTCCAAACCTTTATGAACCTTATCAGATGAATGGAAGCATCGATATTCACTCCACTCACTGCACAATTTGCTTCCAATACAGCAAGTCAAGTACTCTATCTGACTGCATCAATAGTTTCAGTTGACATCACGACCATGAAATTCTCCATCTTCCTCGTCGCTGCCATCGCCATTCTTGGTGTCGTCACAGCTACCGACCAGCCTGCCGTGACAACACCAGCCGAAGCTCTCAAGAAGATTCAGGCGTCCGCCTTACCCGATGGCGTCACGCTAACTGGTACGACGGAGAAGATTGACCCACCTGCTACTGCAGTTGTCGCGAAGGAATCACATGCCCGTGATGACAAGGATGATGACGATGATGAAAAGGAGCAATTCGGCTGGGGTTTAGGAGGTCTTGGTGGATGGGGCCTCGGCGGCTGGGGCAGTTGGGGAGGCTGGGGAGGATATGGACCCTATCGCTTCGGCTTTTTGCGAGGTGGCCTCCTTGGCTGGGCCTATCCGTTGGGCTATTGGAACACGTTTGGTGCGGGTTTGTACGGTGGCGGGTGCGGTCTGGGTGTGCCCTTTGGTGGTCTCTACTACTGCTAAGTTTACATCGACAGTGTTGCAGCTCACAGCTATTTGCTACCGTATCGGTGGCGCAATGCAGCTTCAATAATTGACACTCTCAAATAAATGATGTCTTTTTGTCACGCTTTTACTAATGTTGTTAAGGTTGTTGCCATCGCGCAATAATGAGCTGTTGGCTTTGCTTGGTGCCTTGTCAAAGAAAACAGAATGCTTATATGTTTGGGCTAGATATCAATCATTCTCTGCTTCTGAAACTTAGTCCAGAACTCCAATAATATGCTTCAAAACAAAGGCAAAGCGACAATTTCGTACTTTACAGTAACAATGGCATCTACTTTCGCTATGCGTTTGCTCGGCATTAGTCGCTTGCAAATGGACCCACGCCCTCCCTCGCACGATGGGTGCTGCACGAAGACGACAATATGATTGAAAACGGCTATGAACATTGTGATACTGGAGAAGATTGTTGCATTATAAGAGCGTAAAACTAGCCCTGGAATACGTGCACGTCACTTGCAACGTTTTGCTCACACTAACTATTGTCTCTGTCCAACAAACCCGACGGACAACAAATTTCTGTCTTTTCTTGATCGATTGAGCCGCTTTAAAATACAGAGACAAAGATCAAACAAACCCCGAAGCCATTAAATTAACTCATAGTTCCGACACAATCACACTGTAGATTTCAACCAAGCAGGTAGCATCAAAAATCACGCGAAATCAAACTTGCGTCGCGACGGAGCTGACGGAACGTCGAACCAACTTCAGGGATGAAGCTCTCTAAGAAGATTTGAACCGCAAAACTCTTCCAAATGGTTAAGATGGCTCCGGTTAAAGCCTTTCTGTGTCTAGCATTAGTGGTAGGTCATCTTAGCTTTTTTGGCCGATAACTCATTTCTTCCTACCATGAAGTTGGGA